AGACGCCAATGTTGGATCAGGCCAAAGGCCCATCCAGTCCAACACTCTGTATCACACAGTGGCCAGAAATACCAGGGGCCATCAGGAGGTCCAGCAGTGGGGCCAGGTCATTAGAAGCCCTCCCACTGTTGACCCCCCCAAGCACCAAGAAGACAGAGCATCACTTGCCCCAGAGCCCCTATCTACACCTTGTGGCTAATAGCCACTGATGGACCTCCATATGCTTATCTAATTCCCTTTTGAAGCCGTCCATGCTTGTAGCCGCCACCACTTCCTGTGGCGGTGAATTCCAAGTGTTAATCACTCTTTGGGTGAAGAAGAACTTCCTCTTATCCGTTCTAACCCGACCGCTCAGCAATTTCATGGAGTGCCCATGAGGTCATCTAGTCCAACTCCTGGCACTCTGCAGGAGCATAGCCGAAAGATAGCCCTACAACATACCCGAAAGATGGTCATCCAGCCTCCGCTTGAAAACGTCCAGCTAAGGAGCATCCACCACCTCCCGAGGCAGACTGTTCCACTGCTCAACCACTCTGACAGTTAGGAAGTTTCTCCTGATACTGAGCTGGTAACAACTCCCTTGTAATTTCCACCCATTAGATCTAGTCTTGCAATCCAAAGCAAGAGAGGATAGATCTGCTCCATCTTCTACAGGACAGCCCTTCAGATATTTGAAGAGTGCAGTCGTGTTCCCTCTAAGCCTCCTCTTTCCCCAGCTAAACATACCAAACTCTTTCAGCCTTTCCTCATAAGACTTGGATTCAAACCCTCTCACCATCCTGGTTGCCCTCTTCTGGACATCTTCTTCTTCCCCAATTTGTAAAAACTCTTAGCAGACACCAGAAAAGCTGTCAACGGGCACCACGTTTGGGACTCTTTCTCTCACCACTCCACCATACTGGCTCAGTCTAAAGCATGTAAGTTAGTCATGGCATTCCAGCTTGTTTGCTGTGTTGGAAAAGGAATATTTCAGTCAGGATGTGTGCAGGCCAGACGGAAAGCACAGGCCTTGAGTGCACTGAACTTTCCTGGCTGAGACACAAGTCTTTTGGGCTCTTCTCGGGCGGATGATCTGTCTCAGCAATCCTGTAAAGGTAAAGGTTCCCTTGCTCGAAAGTCAGTCGAATCCGACTCTAGGGTTGCGGTGCTCATCTCCGTTTCAAAGCCGAAGAGCCAGCGCTGTCCGAAGACGTTTCCGTGGTCACGTGGCCGGCATGACTAAACACCAAGGTGCACGGAACGCTGTTATCTTCCCACCTAAGTGGTACCTACGGTATTTATCTACTTGCAATTTCTTGCTTTCAAACTGCTAGGTTGGCAGGAGCTGGAACTAGAGACGGGAGCTCACTCTGTCATGCGGCACCCGGGTCTCGAACTGCTGAACTACTGACCTTCCACAGCCTGCAGTTCGGCGTGTAGCTTTTCGCAATAGAACTTCTATCGCCAGGGTAGGTGTGGAAGTGGAGGAAGCTATCGTTTTGTTCCTGTTCTTATTGTACACCACACCTTCCCGTTTCGGGCATCCTCTGAACCTCTCTAAGCAATCTGTTCTACAACGGTAAATACAAGACTTTCCTGTGCCACATCTGGCAGTCACTGTACACGAAAGGCAATCCTTCGCTTCAGAATGCCCTGTTACATTGGAGACTTTGGAAGAGGAGTCCTCTGATGGCACAGGGTGTGCTTGGTTAGTAAGTTCATGAACTTAAAATTGCAGAATATCAGTTAGGGTTGCCAGCTCCAGGTTGGGAAATCCATGGAGATTCAAGGGTGGAGCATGGGGTAGGCCATTTTGTCCTGGGCCTCACTTCCTGCAGCAGCTCTTTTCTGGTTGCACCCACTGCCCTGTGTCCAGCATTCCAAAGGTGCCCACAGGTGAGAAAGGATCGGGTATCCATGATATAAGCAGCAAAGTCTGTATGGTGATAAGTAGCACTGGAACTGATCCCCTTCTCCTAGGGTTGCCAAATACTCCCTGGCAGGGCTCTATGTGTAGCAGGAACTCCTTTGCATATTAGGCGACCCCCCCCCTAATGTAGCCAATCCTCCAAGAGCTTACAGAGCTCTTCTTACAGGGGCTACTGTAAGCTCTCGGAGGACTGGCTACATTAGGGGTGTGTGCCAGGGCTCTTTTTGTAGCAGGAACTCCTCTGCATATGAGGTGGCACACTCCTAATGTAGCCAATCCTCCAAGAGCTTACAGAGCTCTTCTTACAGGGGCTACTGTAAGCTCTCGGAGGACTGGCTACATTAGGGGTGTGTGCCAGGGCTCTTTTTGTAGCAGGAACTCCTCTGCATATGAGGTGGCACACTCCTAATGTAGCCAATCCTCCAAGAGCTTACAGAGCTCTTCTTACAGGGGCTACTGTAAGCTCTCGGAGGACTGGCTACATTAGGGGTGTGTGCCAGGGCTCTTTTTGTAGCAGGAACTCCTCTGCATATGAGGTGGCACACTCCTAATGTAGCCAATCCTCCAAGAGCTTACAGAGCTCTTCTTACAGGGGCTACTGTAAGCTCTCGGAGGACTGGCTACATTAGGGGTGTGTGCCAGGGCTCTTTTTGTAGCAGGAACTCCTCTGCATATGAGGTGGCACACTCCTAATGTAGCCAATCCTCCAAGAGCTTACAGAGCTCTTCTTACACGGGCTACTGTAAGCTCTTGGAGGATTGGCTACATTAGGAGTGTGCCACCTCATATGCAGAGGAGTTCCTGCTACAAAAAGAGCCCTGCTCCCTGGCCACCGGCCAGGGGTGGGAAGGTAGGGTTGCCAACTCCAAGTCGGGAAACTCCTGGAAATTTGGGGGTGGAGCTTGGGGAGATCCGGGACCTCAGTGGGATACAATGCCCTATAAAGCCCACCCTCCAAAGGATCCGTTTTCTCCAGGGGAACTGGTCTCTGTAGTCCGGAGATGAACTGTAATTCCTGGGGATCCCCAGGTCCCACCTGGAGGATGCAAACCAAAGAGAGAGATCATGGAATGGAGGTAGAAAGGAAACAAAACAACTGTGATGTATTGTGCCAAAAAAAGTCTTCACAGACTTGAAAATTCTATCCCCAATATTCAGCTTACTGAAAGCAATTCAAACGCCATCAACACCATGCATATGACATCTCGTTTCGTGTATAACTTTATCAAAGTGTGTAGCATTGAAATACCTAATGCATTTGATGAGTGTTACTTGGAGATATGACTAGGGTGTTTGCCAAATGGATTAATAGTATATTAATTCATAGTATTATGGATTAATCCATAGTATTAGGGTCACTGCAGACGGTGACTGCAGCCATGAAATTAAAAGACGCCTGCTCCTGGGGAGGAAAGCGATGGCAAACCTAAATAGCATGATAAAAAGTAGAGACATCACCCTGCCAACAAAAGTCCGTATGGTCAAAGCAATGGTATTCCCAGTAGTCATGTACGGCTGCGAGAGTTGGACCATAAGGAAGGCCGCGCGCTGAAGAATAGATTCTTTTGTACTATGGTGCTGGAGAAGACTCTTGAGAGTCCCTTGGACTGCAAGAAGAACCAATCAGTCAATCCTAAAAGAAATCAACCCTGACTGTTCCCTGGAAGGCCAGATAATGAAACTGAAGCTCAAATACTTTGGCCACCCAATGAGAAGGGAGCACTCACTGGAGAAGACCCTGATGCTGGGAAAGATTGAAGGTCAAAGAAGACGGGGACGGCAAAGGATGAGATAGTTAGACAGTGTCATCGATGCAACGAACATGAAATTGAGCAAACTTCAGAGGATGGCGGAAGACAGGAGGGCCTGGCGTGATCTGGTCCATGGGGTCGCGAAGAGTCAGACTCGACTGTGCAACTGAACAACAACAAAAATCCATGGTATACTTTTGATAAAGTTATACACGAAACGAGATATAACATGCGTGGTTCGTTGGTGTTGATGGCGTTTGAATCGCTTCCAGTAAACCGAATACTGGAAAACGAATTTTCAAGTATGTGAAGACTTTTATTGGCACAATACATCACATTTGTTTGTTTCCTTTCTACCCACTTGGAGGGTGGGCATCCCTACCTACTCACCAAAGTATCCGTTTTCTCCCGGGGAACTGATCTCTGTAGTCTGGGGATGGAGATGTGCCATGGAAGTCCACGGGGTCCATTTGGCTGCTGGCGTCCCATGAAGAGGACAAAACCGGATAAGAGGTTTAAAAGATATTGTTTTATTTGCCAGGCAAAGGCGATCGCAGAAACCGGTCTGAAAACGATCGCCCCGAGCTGAGGGTGGGCTAGACCATGACAGACATCCGTTACATGGAATCTGAGCATGCACAAGCAGTTTTTCGCTTTTTTATACCTGAGATGCTTCATGAATTCCTACCCCAGACAGCTGCACAATTCGAGGAACAGCCTGCGTTAACCGCAACATCTTTGGTTTTCGCAGCAGTTCTAGGGACAATGATTAACCCACACATTTGCCCACCAGCTTCCTTTAAATAAGCCATTTTAAGCACAAATCCGTTCTCCTTGCAAAGCGAACCAAGCTTACAAAGCGGGCAAAGGTGGCTCCCTTAATGTTAAGCTGAGCCTTTATACCTCGGCTGTGATTCCGGGAGATCCCCAGCTCCCGCCTGGAGGCCTGGCGCCCCTGCTTTCGCCAGAAATATCCGCCGCATTTCACCACCACTCAGTAAACAGCAAGACAATGTGGGACATGTGCGGTGCTTGCAACATGAGCCCAGTCCCGGAGGCAAGCCGCCAAGAATCCAAACATCCCTCCAAATGTTGGAGCGTAAGCCCAGAGCCCAGAGTGAGAAGTCAGATTGCAGGGTGGGTGTGGTTTGGCTCCAAGAAGAGGGCCATCCATGTATAAGGATGAAAATCGACGAGAGAGAGAGAGAGAGAGAGAGAGAGAGAGAGAGAGAGAGAGGGAGGAGAGAACATGTACAAGAGGGGTGGCCGGAAGGACCGAGGCACCTAGCAAAAAATTTGTCCAGAACCGGGTGTGGGGGGACCGAAGGAGGGAGAGAGAGATGGCCGAGGGGACACTGCTGCTGACGGAACTGTTCCTCCTGCTGGTCATCTCCCTGCTGGTCTTTCAGCTTCTGAAGCTGCAATGGGCACGGAGGAAGCTCCCCCCGGGACCGATACCCCTCCCCATGATTGGCAACCTGTGGTATCTTGACTTTGAGCTGGAAGGAAAGGTTCTGACGAAGGTAACGACTGCAGTTTGGAGACCGGGGTGGTGGTGGTGATGGTGGTGGCCAGGGACTCTGTATCTGGTAGAAAAAGAGTTGTGGTGGTGTGGTGGTTATGGTGTTGGCTTAGGACTGGTGAGACACCCCCTCTGATCCCTGCTCCTTGTCCTGATCACTTTTGCTCAGCCCAACCTACCCCTCAGGGTTGTTGTGAGGCTACAACAGAAGAAGAAGAACAACCTACCCCTCAGGGTTGTTGTGAGACTACAACAGAAGAAGAAGAACCTACCCCTCAGGGTTGTTGTGAGGCTACAAAAGAAGAAGAAGAAGAACCTACCCCTCAGGGTTGTTGTGAGGCTACAACAGAAGAAGAAGAAGAAGAACCTACCCCTCCGGGTTGTTGTGAGGCTACAACAGAAGAAGAAGAAGAACCTACCCCTCAAGGTTGTTGTGAGGCTACAACAGAAGAAGAAGAAGAGGAGGAGGAGGAGGAGGAGGAGGAGGAGGAAGAGGAGGAGATTGGATTAATGCCCCACCCTTCACTACCCAAAGGTTTACAACTCCATGCTGGGAAATTTCTAGAGATTTAAGAGTGGGGCGTGGGGAAGCCAGGGTTTGGGAGGGTTCTCCGTGGACTATAATGCCATAGAATCCACCCTCCAAATCCAGCTTGGTGTCATGGTTAGGAGCGCGGACTCTAATCTGGGAGAACCAGGTATGATTCCCCACTCCTCCACATGCAGCTGCTGGTGTGACCTTGAGTCAGTCACAAGTTTTTTCAGAGCTGTTCTCTCAGGAGCCGTCCTCGATATGTCTAGCCATCTCAAATACTTAGCGGGATAAGAAAAAGCAATACCCCCTTCCAAAGAGGGTGCTATCCCTGCTGAGTTTAGGGGCTTCCATAAATGGCTTGGCTATTGTTTTGTCAGCACAGTGTAAATGGTTAATAGCAGTGGATGCTGATCTGAAGTACTGGGTTTGAATCCCCACTCCTCTACACGAAGCCTGCTGGGTGAACTTGGGCCAGTCACGGTTCTCTCCGAACTCTCAGCCTCACCTACCTCCCATGGTGACTGTTGTGGAAGAAAAGGAAGGATATTGTACTCATCGGAAGTTGATATAGGAAGTGGCACAGGGGGTAGCTCTATGGATTTTACCATAGAGTTTCCAGTGGTTCCTAGAACTACCCTGTGTCACTTCCTATATCAACTTCCAATGAGTACACAAAGCTGTATTTTTAAAAACTCTGTGCCCCACCCCACAACCCTCCCACTGGTGGCTAGGCGCTGCCTGGCAACCCTATCCTCCCACTCACCATTTCATCCTCACAACAGCCCTGTGAGGTAGGCTAGACTGAGAGAGACTGACCGACCCAGTGAAGGATGAGTAGGGATTTTAACTCAGACCTCCTCAGCCCTAGACTGACATTCTCTCCATAACACCCGACTACAGCAAAGGCACTCGATAAGAGAACATAAGAACATAAGAGAAGCCAAGGGTATTTTTCGGCAGGAACGCACAGGAACGGAGTTCCGGCTGGCTCCCAAGTTGGCCATGCCCAGCAGGAACTCATTAGCATAATAGGCCACACCCAACAGCAGGAACTCATTAGGATTGGCTACATTAGGAGTGTGTGGCCTAACATGCAAAGGAGTTCCTGCTACAAAAAAAGGCCCTAGGTTTTGACAACAAACAAGGTAAACAGAATAAGAAGCAAAAGGTGGGTGCGGCTGGATAACCACACTTCTGGTAACATGGGGGTGCGGCCTAATGTGCTAATGAGCTGTGCTGTCAGGGGTGTGGCCCAATATGCTAATGGGTTCCTGCTGTTGGGTGTGGCCTATTATGCTAATGAGTTCCTGCTGGGCTTTTTCTACAAAAAGAGCCCTGAGCCAATGTGGGATCAGGCCAATGGCCCATCCAGTCCAACACTCAGTCACACAGGGGCTGTGGTCTTGCATTTGATTAGTCAGAGAAAGCAAACATACCCAAACTGTCAGCCTGTTAAAGCCATCCAGTGAATGCACCAGGTTTCCACTAAGGGTGCTCAGGTTTGGCATTGTGAGGATGCAATCCTCTGCACTGTTACATGGGAGTAAGGCTTACTGAATTCACTGAGCTGACGAAGCTGCCTTGTCACGCGTCAAGCTGTTAGTCCGTTTTGCTGCTACCAGCTCTACAAGACCCAAACAGGGGTCTTTCCTAGCCTTGTGACTGAAGTAGATCAGCTTAAGAGCAAGCTGCAGTTTTTCTTAAATGAGCAGAGAAGGGACAGCTTTAGGGGGGCACTTCAGAGCAGAGAACCGGTGCCCAGGCATGCGGCTGCTGGTGTGACCTTGGGTCAGTTACAAGTTATTTCAGAGCTGTTTTCACACATGCGGTGTTCGAAAGAACTCTCTCAGCCCCGCCCGCCTCACAGGGTGTCTGTTGTGGGGCGGGGAAGGGAAAGGTGATTGTGAGCCACTCTGAGACTCCTCTGGGTAGTGAAGGGCGGGGTATAAATCCAATCTCCTCCTCCTCCTCCTCCTCTTCTTCTCCCTTGTTTGTTTGTTGTTTGCCACTGCAATTAGTGGGCAACAGAGAGTATTTGGAATTGCAAACAGGAAGTATTTGCAATTGCAGACAGAGAGTATTTGCAATTGCAGACAGAGAGTATTTGCAATTGCAGGCAGAGGTCCTTTCCGCGTTTGCCTGCCACTCCAGATTTTCTCAGTGTTCGAGGCAATTTAAATCCACGGCAAAACAGTATCCAAATAACCCGGGGGCAACAGCAGGCTGGAACTGGGCTGACAACTGAAGGGAGTTGATGAAATGTATAATGGGGGGGAAACCCGGAATAAAAAGAAGGTCGAACTTAATTTTAGTGCAGAATGCCTTCCTGCAGTCATGTTTTCACATGCTTTTTTTTGTTTTTGTTTCCAGAAATGAGTTTTGGAAAATCTACAATCCCATATTTGCAAAACTAAACAAGGGTGTGTGTACGTACACTTCTGCTGTTCCTTTAGCTAGAGAATGGCTTCCTCACAACTTAATGAATCTGCCCTTTGTACTACCTTCTAGCCTATCACTGGCCTGTTCCGCATTTGCCCGCCACTCCGGATTTTCTCAGTGTTTGAGTCAAGGCAAACAGCATCCAAATAACCAAGGGCAACTGCAGGCTGAAACCGGGCTGACCACTGAAGGGAGGTAACGTAATGCAGAATTGGGTGGGGGGATAAAAAGAAGGTTGGACTCAATTTTAGAGCAGAATGGGAAAAAAGATCTGGATTAGAAAGAAGGTTGAATTCGATTTTAGTGCAGAATTGCTTGGAGGACACCCTGGTGAACATGGATTCAAAGGAGAGTGCGGAAAGGGCCAGGGAGTATTTGCAATTGCAGACAGAGCGCATTTGCAATTGCAGAAGTGCCTAACTCCCCCCGGAGCCAAATTTGTGAGCCTTTCATACACGTACATTGTAGTGTATTCAAAGCTGCCTTGAATGCATGATATGTTGTGAAACATCTAACTGAAGTGTAATGTAAAGCTTCCTCCTGGGCTAGGATCCAAATCCATCCAATCGTGTTACCAGCCCAGGAAGCACCTAACCAATCACCTTCAAGCAAGCTCCCTGAGCGGGAACATCCGTGATTGGTCCTTATGTGAACAACCTTATTGGTTGGTATTTGTACAGTGGGTGTGGCTACATTAGCCGGGAATGTTTAAAAGCAGGGCAGCTGCAATGTAAAGGCTGTTCTGGCTATCAGATGTTGATCCGTGTTGGAGTGGTGTTCGAGTTGAAGAATAAAGCTGTGTTCTTGCTGAATCACTCTCCGACTTCTTTGGTAAGCGAGCGACTTAACATACATAAAAAGGTAAAGGTTCCCTTGCTCGAAAGCCAGTCGAGTCCAACTCTAGGGTTGCGGTTCTCATCTCCGTTTCAAAGCCGAAGAGCCAACGCTGTCCGAAGATGTTTCCGTGGTCATGTGGCCGGCATGACTAAACACCAAGGCGCACGGAACGCTGTTCCCTTCCCACCGAAGTGGTCCCTATTTATCTACTTGCAAGTTCTTGCTTTCGAACTGCTAGGTTGGCAGGAGCTGGAACTGGAGACGGGAGCTCACTCCGTCATGCGGCACCCGGGTCTCAAACTGCTGAACTACCGACCTTCCACAGCCTGCAGTTCAGCGTCTTAACCACTCGAGCCACCGCAGCTCCATACATACATACATACACACACACAGTTTAAAGGGGAAATAGCATCCAAGGACCCTGGCGACTCCTCCTCAGCTCTGCCTTAACCGTTTTCTAATCCACGCTTCTCAACTTTCCAGCTAGCCGGCGTCTATGGAAACATCTTCACTGTGTGGATGGGACCGACCCCGGTCGTTGTGCTGAACGGGTACAAGACCGTCTCCGAGGGCCTTATTTTGGAAGAGTTTTGCGGAAGGCCTCTGACGCCGTTCTACAGGGATATGATGGGAGACAAAGGTAAAAGCAGATATTCTCCTTTCTTACAAAAAAAAAGAAGAGAAAAATTATGCAAAAACTCCCCTACTCCCTTTTTCTTCTGGCATGACCCCACTTCCTTGATAAAGTCTGGGACCTCAACAGGGTATAATACCATAGAGTCTACCCTCCAAAGCAGCCATTTTCTTCAGGTGGACTGATCGCTGCAGTCTGGAGACTGGCTATTATTCTGGGAGGTGTCCAGGCCCCACCTGGAGGTTGGCAACCCTCAGCCTGCTCCATAACTGCTGCTACGCTTAGGGTGGTCCTCATGTTGTTTGTGTTCTATCCAGGACCAGCCTAGAGCAGGGGTGTCAAACATGCAGCCTGGGGGCCGGATCAGGCCCCCGGAGGGCTTCCCTCAGGCCTGCAGTGGAACTGGCCATCTCCTGCTTCCAGTTCTGCTGCTGCCGCCGTCGCATCATAACTTCCTTTGCCAGACTCTCTCAGTCGCTCAGCCGTTTCATGTTTTAACCTACGTCCCAGACTCAGAACTCTGAGCACGAGATTCCTGTGGTGAATGTCAACACATCAGAAGTAGGTTTGCAGCTTACGGAGCTAATGTTTTAGGCATGTTTTTGTCTTAAGTAGAAAAAAATCTTTGTGTTTGTGTCCCTTATAAAGTTTTATATCTCCGCTACCTGGCGTTACGTTTTATGACACGCACGGCCCGGCCCAACAAGGTCTCATTTATGTCAGATCCGGCCCTCCTAACAAATGAGTTTGACACCCCTGGCCTAGAGCATCCCTGACAGGTGTTTGTCCAGCCGCTGCTTGAAGAAGGCCAGTGAGGGGGGAGCTCACCACCTCCCTAGGTATCTGATTCCACTGTTGAACAACTCTGACTGTCAAAACGTTTTTCCCAGGGCTATTTTTGGGCAGGAACGCACAGGAACGGAGTTCCGGCTAGCTCCCGAGTTGGCCACGCCCAGCAGGAACTCATTAGCATAATAGGCCACACCCAACAGCAGAAATCCATTAGGATTGGCTACATTAGGGTTGTGTGGCCTCACATGCAAAGGAGTTCCTGCTACAAAAAAGCCCTGGGTTTTGACAACAAACAAGGTAAACAGAATAAGAAGCAAAAGGTGGGTGTGGCTGGATGACC